TCTGGACCGTGGACGTCTCGGAGACAAAGCGGCAGCATGTCTTTGAGAGGAGCCCACGTAATCTCGGTTGTCGATATCGACAGATTGACTGTGCAGACGTGGAGGGTGACGCTGCGTGTCACATGAAGCATATCGGTGCCGACGTGGATCGATATCGGGAGCTTCTCATACCGTCGACGACGGGGAAGGAGACGGAGAAGGGTTTGCATCCATTTGATGACTTAGGAGCTCTACCGTTTTGATGTCGGAGTAAGGACGCTCAATTTGGTGGACAGGGGAGTCCAAGACATGGATGGTCGGTATTGGTGGAGGGACTTTGGCCTCCGGTATCGATACAGTCGTTGGAGCGGGAGGCACTTTAGGGGCATCACTCAGTGCAGCCACCGCTACTTTCCCCTTCTTTGTGGACTTTTGGTCCTTACTTGGCTTGGATTTCTTTTCCACCGGCATGGAAGCGGAGGATTGCGCCTTCGATGCCGGAGGCTTTGGTGTTGGCTGGCCGATATCGGAAGCAGGCCTTGATGCTGGAGCTGTTGAGGTCTATGGTTTCTCGGCATCCATCACTGAGGAAGGATGTAGAGCCCATTCTAGCAGGGCCACTTTAAGGCGCGCAGCTCGGAGTTTTTGGGGTCTGGCGACAAGATTTGGGTCGATGAGACTCTCTGAGACAAAGTATGCAAAGGGCATGACGGTCAGGAGGAGCAAGTTTACTACCGCAACCCTTGCACCTATTAAAAAAGCCCCACTTCTTCTCCATAAAAACCAAAAAGAAGAAGAAAGAAGGGGTGGGGTGGGTAGCCCGAAGGCCCGACTGAGGTAAAGCGGCAACCTCCCCCTCAGCAGAAAATAAAAGCTTTTTTGTTTTTTTAAAGTTTTTTGAAAGAACAACGAAAAAAAGGAATAAACTGAGGAAAAAATCTAGAGCCGTGAGGCAAAAAGCCAAAAAACACGAACCGATCAGACTGACGAAGAAAAAGGTCTTTCCAACGCGGCGGTAAGAAAGGAACTGGCAGGATGTCTGCGCCCACCCCTCTGGGCATGCGCGGTGGGGTTCCTGCGCATGCCTGAGGTCTGGGCGCGAAAATCCGTTAATAAAGCTTGCTACAGCACTGATCGATCCAGCGCGTGCGCACTAGATCCCATGGGTGTGAAGCACAGAGACCACGTCGAAGATAGAAAAGTAACCTGCACTAAACTAAAAACCCAAGAGTAGATCATTACCCTGTTAAACTGCAGTTAGTAATGAAAAAAAAAACTTGTTAATAAACAATATACTTTGTGAGATCCTGTCTTTCTAAGCTTATGTGTTAGTTTATTACTTGTTATGAGAAGATTTCCAGAGCATCTCCTCCAGCTCTCTTCGTAAGGGCAATTTTCAGAGTCCTTCCGCCTTTACATCTATGCTAATTCTCGCTAAATTCTTGATGGCTTCTTAGACGTTCACTCGAAATTCTGCAACCCTCCTCCATCTCCAAAGGGATGACACCACCAATCTTAAGCCTCTTCCTTCTTGGTCTCATCCTCGGGGCCCAGAGGCATCTCACAGGCTTCTTAAGAACATAAGAGATGCCAATGTTGGATCAGGCCCAAGGCCCATCCAGTCCAACACTCTGTATCACACAGTGGCCAGAAATACCAGTGCCATCAGGAGGTCCACCAGTGGGGCCAGGACATTAGAAGCCATCCCACTGTTGACCCCCCCAAGCACCAAGATGACAGAGCATCACTTGCCCCAGAGTCCCTATCTATACCTTGTGGCTAATAGCCACTGATGGACCTCTGCTCCATATGCTTATCTAATTCCCTTTTGAAGCCGTCCATGCTTGTAGCCGCCACCACTTCCTGTGGCAGTGAATTCCAAGTGTTAATCACTCTTTGGGTGAAGAAGGACTTCCTCTTATCCGTTCTAACCCGACCGCTCAGCAATTTCATGGAGTGCCCACGAGTTCTTGTATTGTGAGAAAGGGAGAAAAGTACCTCTTTCTCTACCTGCTCTTTCCCATGCATAATCTTATAAACCTCAATCATGTCACCCCTCAGTCGTCGTTTCTCCAAGCTAAAGAGCCCTAAGCGCCTTAACCGTTCCTCATAGGGAAAGTGTTCCAACCCTTTTATCATTCGAGTTGCCCTTTTCTGCACTTTTTCCAAAGCTATAATATCCTTTTTAAGGTGTGGTGACCAGAACTGCACACAGTATTCCAAATGAGGTCGCACCATTGATTTATATAGCGGCATTATGATATTGGCTGATCTGTTTACAATACCCTTCCTAATAATCCCCAGCATAGCATTGGCCTTCTTTATTGCAGTCACACACTGTCTCGACATTTTCAGTGAGTTATCTACTACAACTCCAAGATCTCTCTCTTGATCAGTCTCTGCCAGTTCAGACCCCATCAACGTGTATTTATATTTAGGATTTTTGGCTCCAATGTGCATCACCTTGCACTTGGCCACATTGAACCCCATTTGCCATGTTGACGCCCACTCGCCCAACTTTGACAGATCCCTTTGGAGTGCCTCACAATCCTCACTGGTTTTCACCACCCTGAACAACTTCGTATCATCCGCAAATTTAGCCACTTCACTGCTTACTCCCAACTCCAAATCATTAATGAACAAGTTAAAAAGCAGTGGACCAAGTACTGATCCCTGTGGTACCCCACTGCGTTACACTTCTGTTTACGGTTCGCTCATAATAACCACAGTTCATTGTTTCTTGACCACGCTTGTAATCGCTCCTCCGCCAGATCTCCTGCGCTTGACTGGGTCAGCACATCTTGTGCCTCGCTAAGAAGACACAGACAGTGGGGAGGACCGTCAGGGCGGAGGGCAGCCTCAATTTCCCTGCAGATAGCAGGAAAAGAGGCTCACCCTCAAAAGCCCTATGGCCTGGGGGTCCTCCCTGACCCCCCGTGGAGGCGCCGATCCAGCGGCACCCCTCCCCTCCGCTGCTGTGTGGAGCGCCCTCCCCGAGCCTCGGGAAAGGCGTCCGCCATCGTTGCGCCGTAGACCCCGCCTCCGATAAGGGTGCCAAGGTTGATGTACAAAGGGCCTCTATTTAAATTTGGGAGGGGCCAGCTTGAGATACCCCCAAAGGTTTAGCTGTTTTTCTTCATCAAGGACAGTCTGTCCTGGAGGAGAATAGAACAGCACCCTCAAAGGATAAGTCCTCGACCTTCTGTTTGGTTCCTACAGGCAGCGCCGTGGACCTCAACCACACGTGACATCTGAGGGCGATGGAACTTGCCACAGCTCGTGCAGCAGCAGACTCTGCAGAATCTGTTGTTTTTATGATCTGACGGCCTCCGCCTGCAGGACCTGGACCAGGCAGCAGCTCTAGGAAAGGCAAAAACTTCTCACAGAGGACAAGTTGACCACCAGCCATGATGGCTTCATAGCTGGAGATCATAAACCCCAGTGCAAATGATGCATATCGTCTTCGTCCTCGTATATCCAGCTTCCATCCCTCTCTATCCATCAAAGCAGAACGGTAAGACTGACGACCCTTAGGATGCATCTCCTCCAAAGCTAATGCAGGATGGGTTGTGAAGTAACTAAAGGGCTCTTTTTATCTTATAAAAATGCTCTACTCTTCTGGACTTCGGTTGGAGTGATGCAGGCTTTTGCTGTAATTCTTGTGACAAATCCTCAAGCCCTTCCGACACCGGGAAGGCAATGATACCTTGGAAGTCTGAACAGAGATGACGCAAGATCTCTTCCCTTGGTTTATGTTCAGAAGTGACCACTTCGATCTCCGGGGACTGGGCCACACGAAATCATCTGTTCCCCATACATGCGAAGGTCCTCTCTGTAGGGGAGGTTGGTGAAGGTTGACTCAGATCTGATGCAGTATTGGATCCATCAGATTCGACAACAGCATCTTCACCTCTCGAAACAGGTCCAGGAGACCCCGAGGTCTGCATGACACAGTGGCTGATGGTGGATATGAGGCAGCCCTGTGGCAGGAACAAGCATTTGGATCTCTGGGTCAAGCAAAAATATCTCCCTTATTTTCTAAGAAGCCTGGTGACATCATCTTAGCAGGCTGGGTTGGGGGGGGGGGGGGTTGGTGGGTCGCGACCCTGATCAGATCAGTTGTGATACAGATCCGGGAGGTGGAGCCGAACATGTCAGTTCAGTGGATGCCGTGACTGACGATTTTTCTGCACCTGATTTGGACGAAGGGTCCACTGCTTTGAGAGCTTTCTCCCACAATGCTGCCTTTAATTGGGAAGCTCCATTCCCTTCACCCAGAGGAAATAGACAAAGACCATATTCATCCATTTGGGTCATCTTCACCCTACAGCGGGTACATTTCTTGAAAAGGGCTTTTCGACCCGTAACAAGACTCACAGTCGAAATAATCCAGGCGAACCATGAAAATAATTCCTCACCCACTCGAACAATGGGAGGCTCAAAAGAACAACCTCCTCCTTCGGTGGCAAAAGAGGAACTGAAGGCAGGGGGCGCTGCTGGGTGGGAGCACGGGGTTCCTGGGTGGGAACAAGTTCGGGCTCTGGTGCAGAGCCCCCTGAAGGCCTTTAGGTGTAAAACCTACCCAATGGCAGGACTGCACAGAAGACTGATGATGAAGCGGGATGTATAAGGATAGCAAGCAATTGATCATTGCATGCACGTAGAAGTTTCACTAGGAAAACAAAGCATCTGAACATATATGAAGCTGCGCTATAATGAATCTAACCATCGGTCCACCAAGGTCAGTCTTGTCTACTCTGACTGGCAGTGACTCTCCAGGGCCTTAGGGTGAGGTCTTTGTACTTTTAACTGGAGATGATGCCAGGGATTGAACCTAGGACCTTGTGCATGCCAAGCAGATGGCCTCCCACTGAGCCACGGCCCGTCTCTCGAATTTAGACCCTCCTCTGCCACATCTACACCTGCTGAGCTTAGCTGAACTACTCCCTGCCCTTCCCCATGAGTCACCACAGCAACACCGACCAGGGAATCCTCCCCTCCCCTCCCCTCTCCAGCCTTACCGTGACAAGACATCGACACATGTTTGCATAGGCCACGGAGAAGCTGGGCTCATCAATGGCCTTCTCAAACACCAGGTCGATGACGCCTTTCAGCCTTTCCTCGGTGTCCACAGTCAGATCGGTGACTTGCTTCATTAGCTGATTGAACATCTGGGGGGTCAGCTTGTTTAAGATACTTCGAACTTTGCGGAACAGCTCCTGAAGCAAAGGGAAAAGCAAGTGCAAGAGAAGAGCCCCAAATATGGTGAGACTTAGAGAGAAATACGGAAAAGTACCAAGACGCAGTTTGCAGTACCCTCTGCCTGTGTGTACATTGGATCCACAGGCCTGCAGCCATCAGCCCCCGGTGAATTCCCACCCACCCCCAATAAGCCATCGAAGGGCAGCTTGAACAAACAGCTCCACCCACTAGGGCTGCCCTTTCAGGCAAAGACAGAGGCAGAGACAGTCAGACACAGCAAAGCGCCGCAGCCGCAAACGCCTGTGAAGGGCCCTCTGCACCTGACATCTCTGCAGGATGCTTTGTTTTCCAAAGCAAAGACAGAAACATTCGAGAAGAGGTAG